ATAATATTTTCTATTTTTCTACGGTTGTTTTGCTTGCATGTGTATATTATTATTATTATTATTATTATTATTATTATTATTATTATTATTATAGTTATTTTCTGTTTCTGTTTTCTTATGGGCTACTGGTGGTAAAAGTTTGGGCACTGAAGGCTTGGAACTGATTAGTGTTTGTTTATTAAAACAAAAGCTGATAAAATCTACATGATTTACATGGATTTTAAAAAATTTAAGCAAAATAATAATTATTTTATAATATACTTCCTATAAAAGAGATTGTTATAGTGATATAAAATTTTAAAGAGCTGGCACAAAGCCAAAAAAAGGTACACTGGCAAAAAGTACTATTTCAGCCCTACACTTTCAAAAGGTACTAAGTACTCATTTTAAAGTTTAATTAATAAAGGCCACTAACAAATCCTGTAGTTTTTTTTACAAGTAAAATGAAGTTTTAGTATCAGTATAAGACATATTCTGTGACATAATGTCTAAGACATTGCCAGTTAAGTTGTAACAGAAAATTCACTTTACTGAAAAATGAGTTTGGTTGGATTTAGTACCTTTTGCAAGTCAGCTCCTCAAATAATTGACTTCAATGAGGGAGCTAAACAATGGATTACAGTAAGGCTATTTTGTTGAATGAAGTAAGAGCTGTCAATGGACTTTCCTGAGGGAGCTAAACACGAATCTCTAGTAAGGGAGATCAACCCTGGAATATAGTCAGGGGACTAAACACTGCACTTTATAGCGTGGGAAATAACGCTATTTTATTGAGTGAGCTTAGCCCTTGACTATATTATAGTAAGAGTTAAACACTACTTTAGTTAGGGCGCTAAACACTGGTCTTTAGTAAGAGAGAGCTGAAAAGAGTAAATGTCATTAGAGCTTAACACTGGACATCTGTGAGAGCTAAACATTCAAATTAAAGTCCATTTCTTAGTTAGAATTTATCCTTGAACTTTGGTGAGACCTTAACACCCGACATTAGTGGGAGCTTATAAATATAATTTGTTTAGAGTTTAACACTGTTCTTTAGTGAGAGTATAACACTGGAATGTATTGATACCTTAACACAGGATTAACGTAAGAGTTAAAAACGGTTCTTTAAAAAAGGGGGGAAATGTACTCAACTGTTGGCTAAATACTTTACTTAATTGGGGGCTAAATAATGTACTTACTTACGAGCTAAATAATGTAATTACTTACGAGCTAAAAAATGTACTTACTTACGAGCTAAATAATGTAATTACTTACGAGCTAAATAATGTAATTACTTACGAGCTAAATAATGTAATTACTTACGAGCTAAAAAATGTACTTACTTACGAGCTAAATAATGTAATTACTTACGAGCTAAATAATGTAATTACTTACGAGCTAAATAATGTAATTACTTACGAGCTAAAAAATGTACTTACTTACGAGCTAAATAATGTAATTACTTACGAGCTAAATAATGTAATTACTTACGAGCTAAAAAATGTAATTACTTACGAGCTAAAAAATGTACTTACTTACGAGCTAAAAAATGTAATTACTTACGAGCTAAAAAATGTAATTACTTACGAGCTAAATAATGTATTTATTTGATCATTAAATAATGTACTTAATCGTTAGCCATTTAATTAACTTAATCGATGGCTAAATAGTGTACTTAATTTAAAGCTAAATTATGTACATAATTAGGAGCTAAATAATGTACTTAATTTGGAGCTAAAATGTACTTAATTTGGAGCTAAATAATGTACTTAATTTGTAGCTACACACCTGGGATTAAGTGTCAAGAAGACTGATCGACACATAAAGACGTCGTAACGTTTAATTTAAAACTATGCAATGAGTTTTTCAACTTCCACTTTAATTGATGCCATTCTCGTATAAGAGTTATACGTTTTAGGGAACCCCTCTAAAAATAGGGAATCCCTGCACAACGGACTATTTAAAGCTCACTCTAATGTCTGAACTTCAGTTGCTGGCTCTCGACTACAACAAAGCATTGAACATGGCGAACTTGATGTTGTTGTGCGCGTTCAAATATATATATATATATATATATATTATATATATATATACTACGCGTCTGGTATGTATATTTGAATGAGTTATGCTGATCATACCGCCAAAGAACCGAAATGATTTAAATACTTTTCGATTCTTAAAAACAATCATAGTTATTTTCTATTATTTTACGAAATTTGAATAAATTTAAATGCGCAGAAAATAACATAACTACGCTTTTAATTTAGTAAAAGTCAAAGTATTATTATTATAAATTGCAAGAACATTTAAAGTAACAACTAAGGAACTACATTAAGCATTTAATCCTAATTTAAAAGCTATGAAAAAAAGTTAATGAAAAAATTATGATCTAAGAATTACACCGTAATAACATTTATCGGGAAAAAACCAAAAAATGAGTCATGAGTTGTTTTAGTGCATTTTAGTGGGTTTTTAATATTGCGAAATAAAACTAAAATTAATTTGCTCTAATTAAACATACAAATGACGTCATAACGAAAACTAGCTAAACTATTAAGTTTCTTTGATTTAATAACCACGCGTTACAACACTGATAATGTATTTCCCCTTCTTAAAAGTAAAGTTAATAATTATAACGGATTGCTTTTAAAATTGTTCATAAAACACACACACATATTTTTAGCTTTGTATTTTTTTAACATTTAAAACGTTTTTACTTCTTTAAATTTCAAACATATACTTTTATTTAAATTTATAATGTTTTAAAAACTTAACTTTTAAATAAACTTCTAATAAAAAATGCCGTTGAAGTCAATCAGTGCAGCGTAACTCCCTAGCCAAATAGCGCCTGTTAATCCACTTATAACTTATCCAAATAAGAACAAACCAAATGAAGTGCAATATATGTTAATTTGGGTATGAAAGGGACTACAATCCGGTGGAAGATTTTATTAATTTTCTTTAAATTTGGGGGGGGGGGGGTGGGGGGGTGTGGTTGTGCTGCCTCAGACAACACAAGATACGTCTAAAAATAAAGGCAAGAATTTGATAAATAATTAAACTTTCTTTGGTACATACATATCGGAGGTAGGAAATAGGATGAGTACATTTTTACGTGGATGACGATATATTTAAATCCTATTGTATTACATTTGTGAAAAAAAAGAGATGTTACATTGTCTTTTTACAAATAAACATTCTGTTTACCAATTAAGAAAGGCAATGGCGTTATCAAAACGTGGGTACATTTATATAAGTCTACCCATGAATATCAAAACCCAATCATTTTACACACTTAAAAATTTAATTTTGAACAATGGAGATGGGTTAAAATTTTCTTTTTTAAAAAAAATGAAAATATATTTTTTTTTAACTTTGCGAAAAGTCAAGTGGATGTGTGTGTTTTTATGAGATTGACCATTTAAAAAAAGACACCCAAGTCTGTTATAGACGTGAACAACGACTGGAGGGTTTTCGACAGATAAAATAATTATTTGTTTTACGATTTGCTGATGATGTGTAATTAAAAAAAGAAGGCAAAAGTGTGTTTAAATTTTTGGTGAAAATATCAATATATCACATTATTTTAGTATAAAATGTTTATTTATATTCATTTAAATTAAATATATATTTATATCACATATAGAGTTTTTGTTTTTAATTTAAGATTATGTTTGTTAAAAAAATTTTTTTTAGAAAAAAAGTTGTAATTCAGGGGCACGCAATGGGGTATCTCTAAAATATTTCTCAAGCGAATAAATCGTCCCTCAAATAACTTATTTAGTGACAAAAGTGATATAATTAGTGATAATTTAGATTGGGTAATTTAAGGTCATGTTTAGACGGGGGAAAATGTAGTCTAGGGGCGTGAAAGGGAGTAGGGTAGGCGTATAATATATAGCAGATAAATACTTCTCAAAAGTAAACGATGTTAGAAACGTAAATATCATGACATAGATACTTCCTTTAAAAGCTATAATTGTGATGAGTTTTTGCAATAGCAAGTAGAAATTATAGCAAATGACCTAAAATTATTATGCCGATAACATCGGGTCATTTATTCTAGTATATAAGAGATTAGCTTTTAGAACCCCCATACTTGTTATAAACTAGTTTACTATGAACAATTTTCTCCTATGTGATACATTGTAAATATCATAATTATAATCATAACCGGTTTGGGGGGGGGGGAGGCAATTCCCTAACGTACCGTTTTAGGTATGCCTAACAAAATCCCTTACACGTATAACGGAGTTAAAATTTAAATTTTGTCCCATTAAAATCCATTTAAAAGTGCCATAAACCTAGATCTATTAATTCACACATAACACTATACTATTGTCTAAGCCTATTGGTATTCAAACTGCTTATATAACGAAAAAAGAATAATGAATGTAATAAAAAGCTTATCCCATCATTATTCCATTCTGGATAAAGATGGATATATATGCAAGTTTGGTCAAGGTCGATCAATACACGAAGACACGTATGAGGGGAAAACATTGTCATGTTCTATTTATATGCGCAATAGCTTTGTAAAGACGGGAAATGAAACGCCCGCTGCCCTGATTGTAAGACGAAACAAAAAACAAAGTCGAAATAAAACTGGATTACTAAAACTGATAACCGCTATGCAAAAATCAACAACAAATTACAAAAAACTGTATTCAATCACGACATTGTTACCGAAGCGATCCGAACCAGAACTTAAAGTTTTTATCAAACAGAACACACCATGGGGCTGTTACCAAAGTGAACTCGAACTTTAGCTGTTACCGGGCTGCACCGAATCCAAACTTCTAAAAGTGGGTTCGATCCCATTTCTAGACTGAAGAGGAGATTTTTTTAAAAAATAAATATAAACACATGAATTAAAACAATGCAGTTGTCACATTAGTTTTCAATGTTGGGATTTTTCACGAAACTAAGAATAGACTGACATGAAATTAAGAATAGACTGACATGAAATTAAGAATAGACTGACATGAAATTCATATTTGTTTAGAGATCTCTTTTGCGGTTCAACGTGTACAAAATAACTTTCTATACGTTTGTACAAATTTTGAGCTCATCGAAACATATATGATAAAATTTAACACCATCTCAAGCATGTAAAAAATATGGCTGATGTCTAAACAAACTACACGAAAGTAGTTGTCGAGTTCAAATAGTAATGGTACTATATCTAAGATAAAAGTAACAATGCACACCGAAAACGAAAAAAGACAGATAACCAGTAGCATCTTGGTGGCTTTTATAATTTTCAGCTTCTTGGATTTCACAGCAGAGGCTGAAAGATGTTTCATTTCTTTTGTGATGATAAACATTTTTATCATGATTAGAATTGAGGAGACAAGAATGGTGAGCAGTGGCAGAGTAGAGTAGATTATGTTGACAAAAAAAACCAAATACCAGTTGATGGCTTGAATATCCGCATCTTTCAGTCCTTTAAATACGAAGTGATAAGTAGTTACATTATTTTTTTTAAAAGTCTTCTGTATGGCAAGGTAAGTGATAAAACCTGGCGAATGAAAAAAGAATGTGATGACGTGGAGCAGGATGATTAGACTCATCATACGTCTTGGAGTAAAGACACGGGACACAAGAAAGGGAAACCACACGGCTGCGAGTCTCTCTACAGCGATGACCGCCGCTAGTAGTTGACTCTGTGAGAAGGATAAGTAGTTCAATATCACCAGGTATTGACGACAGAACAAGAAAAATCGGATCTCCTGAAAGTATGCGGTTATGATGTAAGGCAAACGAATAATGACTTCGGTCAGACAACAAATCAAATCGTCGGACGCCAATGACGTCAGCAGGATGTTGGTGGTATCGTGGAAGCCATGATCAGACAGGATGATGATGTTTAGAATATTTCCGACGATACCGCAGACGGCGAGAAATTCGGTGAAACAGTTGATTAAGACACGTGAAGAAAATGGAGTCTCTCTAAACTGAGATTGCAAAGTACGAACTGACCTTTTACCAGTAAGCAATGCACTACCGTTTGCCTTGGGGTACTGAGCCATTGGCGTATTCCTAATTTAGAGTAAAAACAATATTAACACGAAAATACCGAAACTATTTATTCAATTTTACAAAAAATCTTATGTTTATGATTTTAATTTGATACTTTGAACGCAGTCTCATAAAGATGAAACGATGCAAAATGTTCTGATACTGCCCAGTCGTCATTAAATCTTAAAGAAAAACATCTGGAGTTAAACAATTTTCCACAAAAAAAAAAATAGCGAAGCTAACAATTTAAAATTATCAAGAATCCTTTGTTTAAGTGACAGTAGCTATAAAAATACGTGGAATTTATACATTTTTTGTATGCTCTACTCCACAGTTAATTGCCAGAGTAAAATCTCTTGTTCAGATCTTCGTTGATGTAAAATAAGCATCATTAAAAATATAGCACTAATGAAGGAACACTTTGGATTTAATGTAATGTTATGTATCCATTTTATTATGATGCTATTAGTATTAGGTCAATTTCTAAGAAATATTCGTTTCAGCCAGTGCTGTCCTGCAAGTGGACCGCATGCGGTCCGCGGACTTATTTTATATGGCCCGCCAGAATTTGAGAATTTTTTTTATGGTTGATGTAAAAAAAATTAAAACTCGTTACGTTTAAACAAAAATCATAACGCCATTCTTCGATACAGTGTCGTTTTGAGGTCACGTGAGTGCAGAGAAGAAGCCACGGCATGGAATGAGTGCAAAGGGTATGGGCAGGTTTGACAGTTATGGCTTATTTATGTTAAGAACATAAGCAGATCAACATAATTGGGACCATGGGTTTACATGAAATTGTACATTAGCATTTTCTTCTTTCCGCTGATTTCACTGGGTAGGTGTCGTGGGACACGGTAATACTTACCAGCGGCGTCGGGAAAAGATGAACCTTGAAACCAAGAACACGGCAGCTTGATTTGTAAGTGGCGGTTTATCGTAAAAATGTCCATCCACACACCAACTTGACTAGTTTAAGATGAACTAGATAACAAAATACCGCTGGTTGGCGACTGCGCTTAATTAATGAGATTATAAGATGTCTGGAAGGGAAAAGTCCTACGGTCAGATTAATGGAGATGTGATCTGGGGGTCTAAACATGTTACAAATGATTGGGGCGGGGTATTGTGAACCAGTTAAAATTAAAAAAGCAATCTAGTGAGGTTTGGGGAGTGAGTTTATCCTGTTTTTTTTGTTTTTTTTTTTTTACGAATTCAGACTTAACTGTTACTTGGTAAACGTTGATCGGCGTATGATCTGTTTCAGGAGGAGAACGCAGGATAAAAGCTGTGTTTGTTTTTAGTTAATTTTATTCAGTCAGCTATGTCAGACAGTAGGAACAATTTTGTAAAGTATTTTTTCTTCTAAATAGGAAGGCAATTACAAATTGGAAACTTTCGGAAGAGAATCTTACTTTTAACGTTTCGTGTGTAATAGGGCTTGTCATTTAATGGCGGAAATCTATTAATAGAACTGATGTCATTATTACTCGTCAGCCGGGTACTCAGCGTGGACAAAATGTCAACACTGTTCAGTATTACTATGTTAGCGAAGTGTCCTTGAAATTCGTTTACAACTCTATTTTACGAAATATTTTACATATTTTTTTTTTTTACTTCCATTTTCTGAAATGCGACTTCATGGCGCGAACGGAAAATGTAACAGTGACTCTAGATACAAGGATAGTCCGAACGATATGCTGAAACACACTATAAGCTGCCATGTTTTAAGCAATATTTGTCCGCTGACCTTCTAAAAATAGTACAATATGACGTTTTCCGGTCTTAGAAATGACAAGCCCTATTGAAGGTTGTTTTTTTTTTTTTTTTTTTTATTATTAAAAGAATGTTTGTTGTGTCAGATATTTTTTTTTTTGTATTTTTTTTTTTTTTTTTTTTTTTTTAATGATAAGACAATGTCTGATGTACCAGACATTTATTTCTGTTATGGATATGGCTAGTCTTGCTGAAATACCATTAAAGATCGTATTTTTCCCAGTGACTATTCATACATTCTTCAACTTCCTGTACTCTTGGTTTTGAACAATCCTACTTCCGGCAATAACAAATGGCAGGAATCAAAGTTTCTTGTCCTATTTTCATTTGCCTTGTCTGCCAAAAAAGGTTCTAAGCCAAAACATTCTTATATTAAAGTCCTGTTTCTCAATTCATGCTTCCACTAGAGCTTCCTCTAGCTCACTTCTCCGCGTATTCTTAGGCCTTCCGTTCTTTCTTTTTCCCGGTGGATTCCATGTTAGGTATTGTCTGGTGATGTTGTCTGCTATAATGATGTTATCTGCTATACGTAACCATAAATTCATTCTGTTAAGGGATCCCCCAGAGGTTTTGCTTTTAACCCCAGCATAGTTTTACCCCTGGACTCTAAATAGTCCAACTACGTATACCAAGCTAGAATAAAATCCTAATGGTTATCTTAATCATTGTATTCACTTAATCATTGTATTAACTTACATCCAGAGCTGTGTTTTATATAAAAATGTGTCGGTACTGTCACTTAATTGGGGAGGAAGAAGAAATCGAAGGTGCCGAGTGCCGAATGAAACTGGGGGTAAATTTTGGAGAGAGGTCTCAGTAAGCCAATCCCCCTTGATTAATTCAAATGACGGGATGCATTTGGCGCGTATAAATTATTTTTTTTTGGGTGTGGATCATTCTACACTAAACCTGCTAGCAAAAGAAACGATGATAGCTGACATTTAGGTTCCCTTGACCATGCATGGGTGACACCATTCATTTTTATTTTTAGTTTGCAACTAAATAGTAATAATGTTTCATAATTTTATTTCAAACTATTATTTATTTGTTTAAACTAACTCATCAATGGGTCGAGGTTTTCAGTCAACATCTCAACTGTCATATTTGTAAAAATATCGTTTTATTGTCACACCCATACTGACCTATGGCAAGTTACATATTCAGTGAGGATAGACCTGGAAAGTGACATTGTTTTCGATATGCCTGGCTTGAAAATATAAATGAAAGGACTGCTTCAAGCTTAGTAGATGAATGAAATAGCGAAACGAGGTATGTGGAAGCTTGAAATAAGATAACAGGACAAAAAACAAGGACGTTTCGGCATAGAGCCTTCCTCAGCCCACAATAGAAAGGAAAAAATAACAAAGAAAAGAGCACAGTAGACAAGAAAAAAATATTTTCTTATTGCTGTGTGTTGATGTATCCCTGGATATTCTGGTCCATTATTATTGTGTACTTCATTTTTCACAGTTGTCTATGTTAACATAATAATAGGATTCATTGCCAAGCAATTAAATCAAACTGTTTTTTAATTAGTTTCATGTTTTTAATGATACTTATCTTATATTAATGCTGAGCTCATCAAGTGATTGTACACTGGCAATAACCAGCTGGGCAGAGAACACAAGTGCAGGGGCTGGTAAGGAGCTTAAGTGAAGTGGCGGGTACAGAACACAAGTGCACTGAATGGGTACAAACCACAAGTGCAGCGTCGTGTAGAGAGCGCAAGTGCAGGGGCGGATATAGTAATCAGTTACAGGGGTGGGTACAGTAAACAAGTGCAGGGGCGGGTAGAGTATAGAGTTGAAGGAGTGGATACACAACACAAGTACATGGGAGTAAATAAAAAAAAAATAACTGGTGAATGTTTACTGGTGTCATATCGGCTGAAGTTATCACACACTCAGCGGATAGATTTCTGATAATAGGGTTAGGATTACATTACATAAACCTATATATTATTTTAATTTGAATTGACAATGATTTAAAAAATGTAACGATGTGATCCCTATAGTTAATATGACTTCATTTTTCGCGTACCAAGTCTTCCTCTGGTAAATGATAAATTACTCTTACCAAAAAATCAAGAGCACCAATGGTTGTGGCCTAAATCTATCATCACATATAACTTTTTTAAGCTATGGAGAAACTACAGATCCCTAAATTAAGGGTAAAATACACATTTCATATCACAAGAGATTTGATCACATTACACAAATAAAGACAGAATCTGGTCTAAATAGAAAATAGTTCAATATTCACTGCTGAAAGTCACGGTTATCTTACATTTAAACAATTAAAAATTTTATAGGTCCCTAACTCTTAAAATGTACATCTTTAAAGCAAAAGCATTTAAAATGGATATAGTAGCCTAATGACAAACTATAAACCTTGTACAGCTTTAACTCCAAACTGCTTCTTTATTAGTGTCATAGTTTTTTTAATGATGCTCATTTTAAATCAACGCAGAACTCAAAAAGAAATTTTACGCTGGCAATCAACTGCGAGTTACAGGACAAAAAAATGTATAAATTCCAAGTGTTTTTATTGCTTCTATCACACAAACGAAAAAGGTTTTCGCGAATTCTAAAAAGAAATTAATTTTAGATTTGCTTCTGCGTTTATTAAAGATTTCTAAGCTGTAGATATTTTCCATAAGTTTTTATGAGAATTCGACAGTTGTACAGTCGTTACTTCATGAGAAACGGCGATAAAGGAATCATAGTAAAATCATAAAGCTTAAAACTTCATTAAAATTGATTTTTTTAAAAGTTTCGTTAATTTTGTGACAGTTTTGTTATTATTCTAAATTATGAACCAGTCTATGGCTCAGTACTCTAAGGCAAACAGTAGTGTATGGCTTACTGGTAATAATACGGTAAAAAAATATAAAATATCTGTACTTCGTCAACTGCATGAACTGTCTCTGTGTAGAGAAACTCCATTTTCGACATGTTTCATTATCAACTGTTGTATCGAATTCCTCGCCGTCTGCGGCATCATCGGAAATATTCTCAACATCATCACCCTGTCTTATCATGGCTTCCATGATACCATCAACATCCTGCTGACGTCAATGTCGTTCGACGATTTGATAAGCTCATTGACCGAAGCCTTCTATCGTTTGACCTACATCATGCTTGCATATTATCCAGAGAGCCGCTTGTTCTTGTTCTATCGTCAATACCTACAGATATGGAACGGCTTATCACTCTCACTGAGCGAACTACTAGCGGCTGTCATCGCTGTAGAGAGAGTCGCAGCCGTGTGGTTTCCCTTTCTTGTGTCCCGTGTCTTCAACCCAAGACGTGTGATGATTTTAATCGTCCTGCTCCACGTCATCACATTCTTGTTTCATTTGCCAGGTTTTTTCACCTACCTTGGAACATGGAATAATATTCAAATACATAATTTAACTTTTACCACACTCTTGGTTAAAGAACTCAGTGTCACGAACATTCAAGCAATCACTGTGTATTTGTTGCTTTTTCTCAACACAATCTCATCAATTGTGCCCTTGCTCATCATTCTTGTCTCCTCAATCCTAACCATAATAAAAATGCATATAATCTCAAGAGCAATGAAAAATTTGTCAACCTCTGGTGCGCAGTCGAGGAAACTGAAAATGTTGAGAGCCACCAAGATGATATTGGTTGTCTGTTTTTTTTCGCTTTTGGTGAGCATTGTATCTTTTATTTTAGACACAGCACTATTGCTATTTGGACTTCAAAAATACTTTCACGTAACTCATATGGAAATCAGCCATATCTTTTACCAATTTGACACGGTGATCAATTTTATCATTTATGTTTCGATGAGCTCAAAATTTTTAAACACTTATAAAAAATTGTTTTGTACTTGTTGAGACGCACAAGACAACTCTAAACTAGTATTGATTCTATGTCAGTCTATTCTCTATTTCGTGATAAATCCTAACATTAAATACAATTATCTCATTTGCTTTTTCGTATTTTTTTTTTGTACATTTTTTTTTCATGGCTTTAGTCAGGAGATTGGAATCGAACCCTATTTTAGGAGGCCAGTTTCGTGTAAAAGTCAAGGTCTTGTTCATTTCGGTAACAGTTCAAGGTCGGGTTCAGTCAGGTAACAGCTCAAGGTCTGGTTCAGTTCAGGAACAGCGTTATGTCTGGTTCAGTTCTGTAACAGCTCAAAGTCTGGTTCAGTTCGGTAACAGCTCAAGGGCATGCTCAGTTAGGTAACAGCTCACAGTCTGGTTCAGTTCAGTAACAGCTCAAGGTCTGGTTTAGTTCGGTAACAGCTTTAGGTCTGGTTCAGTACGGTAACACCTCAAGGGCATGCTCAATAAGGTAACAGCTCAAAGTCTGGTTCAGTACGGTAACAGCTCAAAGTCAGGTTCAGTACGGTAACAGCTCAAAGTCAGGTTCAGTACGGTAACAGCTCAAAGTCAGGTTCAGTACGGTAACAGCTCAAGGTCAGGTTCAGTACGGTAACAGCTCAAGGTCAGGTTCAGTACGGTAACAGCTCAAGGGCATGCTCAATAAGGTAACAGCTCAAGGGCATGCTCAATAAGGTAACAGCTCAAGGGCATGCTCAATAAGGTAACAGCTCAAGGGCATGCTCAATAAGGTAACAGCTCAAGGGCATGCTCAATAAGGTAACATCTCAAGGGCATGCTCAATAAGGTAACAGCTCAAGGGCATGCTCAATAGGGTAACAGCTCAAGGGCATGATCAATAAGGTAACATCTCAAGGGCATGCTCAATAAGGTAACATCTCAAGGGCATGCTCAATAAGGTAACAGCTCAAGGTCAGGTTCAGTTCGGCTCCGTAAAATCATTATTTTCTTGTTCGGTTGTTAAAAAACTAAAGAAGTAATACCGTTATTTTTTTTCTTCAGACCTGTTATCGGTTTTAGAAATTCGTTTTTAAACTGGTTTTAAAGCGGTTTCGGGTTTTACAATAAATTCACCTGCTAAAACAGCAAAAGAAGCTGATCAATTTTGATCTCTTTTGGCGGTAAAATCACGTATTATCTCATGCTCTTTACTTTGAATTTTTAATTTACTTGTGGTCAAACACTTTGAGAAGGAATACATTTCAGTTCCTATCCAGTTTGACTCCAGGTTCATTATCGCTCCAGTCAAGATTCACTCCAGGTCCATTCTTGCTCCAGTCAAAATTCACTCCAGTTTCATTAATGCTCCAGTCAATATTCACTCCAGGTCCATTCTGGCTCTAGCCAAGATTCACTCCAGGTCCATTTTCGCTCCAGTCAAGATTCACTCCAGGTCCATTTTCGCTCCAGTCAAGATTCACTCCAGGTCCATTTTCGCTCCAGTCAAGATTCACTCCAGGTTCATTCTTGCGCTAGTCAAGATTCACTCCAGGTCCATTCTTGCTCCAGTCAAGATTCACTCCAGGTTCATTCTTGCGCTAGTCAAGATTCACTCCAGGTCCATTCTTGCTCCAGTCAAGATTCACTCCAGGTTCATTCTTGCGCTAGTCAAGATTCACTCCAGGTCCATTCTTGCTCCAGTCAAGATTCACTCCAGGTCCATTCTTGCTCCAGTCAAGATTCACTCCAGGTCCATTCTTGCTCCAGTCAAGATTCACTCCAGGTCCATTCTTGCTCCAGTCAAGATTCACTCCAGGTCCATTCTTGCTCCAGTCAAGATTCACTCCAGGTCTATTCTCGCTCCAGACAAAATCCACCCCTGATCCATGTCAAATCTCGGCCCTTGACTCCGGTACCAATCTAACATTGTCGATTGTGTAGTTAGTTGGCTGCTGTATTTAAAGCAATATACGTTTAACATACTCAAAATTGTCACAGACATTCGGTAACGCTGACCGTTGTTTAAGATTGTCAGGATTTCATTCAGGCATCTCTCGGGGGGGGGTGGGGGGGTGGGGGGGTTCATTACCCCTGACACGTCAAGTACCCCCCCCCACCCCATCTAGGAAATATGAGTACAATAAAACGAAAGTACATCTATAAATAAAACCTACTGAAGTGTGTCGTTTAAAAATAGAAAAGTAACCGGTGCCTTGAATCGATTACAGTCAGTGGAACCTATCAAATATCGATACGCTAAATATATTAGATGATCCGTTTATTTAACGCTAATCTTGTCAGGGGCCAACACTATTCGATTTTATATATAGTGCTGTGCCGAAAATTGGCCACTTCTGATCTTAAGCAAAAATCGTATTTACTGCTATCCGCCTGTTTCGGCATTTTTATTTATTAACTTAAGAAACGTCACAGTTAAAAAAACTTCAATGACACGGTGTGAAACGACTTTCACGTCAATAGAAAAGTCTATAACTGTAATATTATTATAGTTCCTGCTTAGTGTCAAACATGTGCAATCTGCATTCAAATTATTTTTCTATAAAATAGGATGACTCTAAAAGTAGGGATATGTGTTAATTATATATTGTTTTATGACATTTTGCTTTAAAAGATATCTTTATTTGCATAGTTTTCAATGTACTAGATTCGATGTTTGTTGAGCAAGATAGAATGAAAAACTTTAAGAAATTAGTAATTTTTTATTATTTATAATTTAACAGGCTCATACAAATAGTACAAGTTTCATCAAATATTATTAAGTCGAATGCGTTTGTAATTCATTTTAATTATTAAATGTTCTAATATTGTTACACATTTTTCTGAATAACAAAGTTTATCTATATATATATATATATACTTAGCCATACTTATTAAATTCTGAACTGCTTTATCTTTTTAATATTATAATAATTTAAAAAAAACTGCCCCCGCATTGGCACGTATTTTAGCTTTAATTAAATACATTTTTTTCAGATAAAAAAAATCAACAAAGTTTTTTTTGAAATTGCATGCCGATTGACATGTCGTTTCTATTAGTTGTAATAGTTTTAGAAAACATTCTTATGGATTTTGTAGAAGAAAAAAAAATGTGTTAAAGTTTATCGAAGAGGCAATTTGTTATTTATGTGAAGAAAGTTATAATATACAATCAATTGGTAGATTTATTATTTATTTTTAAACGATTTCTGTCCGAAAAAATCATATAGTAGTTATATATATATATATATATATTTAAAGAAGACGTTATATATTCAAATCGAGCTAATATATTGCATGATCAAATTAATCAGTTTTTATCAACTATTGAAAAGGTAAAAATTGATATTGATTAAACAGAATATTTTTAAACGATTGTGTAACTAGCTTAAGTAGATAGACGTGCAAACTACTGATCTGATAATCCTTACAAGAGGATAAGTTTTGCCGGACGGAACCGATTACTTTATGGTCCCAAAGTGCAGGTGGTGGGGAAAAAGTTTGAGGACCACTGATCTACAATTTTTATTTTAATCTAATATGATAAAAGCTACCATCACTGTCTACATTCTTTAAAAGCAAAACTCATTCGTGAAAATAATATTCTTATACACTCCCACATTTAATTTATTTAAATAAATAAAATGTACATTTCAATTCAGTCCAGCCCGTCGATATACATTTTCTTTAAGTCTTAAGTCTACCTCACCCCCTCCTCCCACGCACTTACATCCAGTACAGAAATATATGGTTGGAGTTTTCTTGTAAGGAGCTTACAATGTTGGGAAGTTTTTCATTTGGTCATTGTCTCTGTTTATAGTTTTGTTTTTTGGTGCACGCAATCTCCTTGTAGGAAAGTTTAATAAGGTGGTGGGGAAGGGGGGGGGGAATAATCCGGAATGTTGTATGATATTTCGGAAAATATTGCAGATAAGTTCATCATAGCTTAATGGATACCATCAAAACGATGATGACGTCAGTGGCAGCCAATAATTTATTTTGTTTACCTAAAAANCAATCTCCTTGTAGGAAAGTTTAATAAGGTGGTGGGGAAGGGGGGGGGGGGAATAATCCGGAATGTTGTATGATATTTCGGAAAATATTGCAGATAAGTTCATCATAGCTTAATGGATACCATCAAAACGATGATGACGTCAGTGGCAGCCAATAATTTATTTTGTTTACCTAAAAAGGCCGCACCACGTGCGTCAATCATTGATCAAGCTGACCATGCTGACCATGCTGACCATGATGACCATGCTGACCATGCTGACCATGCTGACCATGCTCGCCATGCTGACCATGCTGACCATGCTGACCATGCTGACCATGCTGACCATGATGACCATGCTGACCATGCTGACCATGCTCGCCATGCTGACCATGCTGACCATGCTGACCATGCTGACCATGATGACCATGCTGACCATGCTGACCATGCAACCAAAAGTTTGAAATGTTCTGTCGTAAGTACGCAGCGATGTTCAGCGGGAGGACTTTTGTCTGTTGTGTAATGCAGGGAGCGGAAGTCGGCGTAGATAAGGTCTCGCAGCTGTGTGGTTTCACTTTCTTTGTCTCTTGACTTGTCACTCCGAGATGCGTGATGATTTTAATCACCCTTCACACTGTCATCACATTTGCGCTCCATTGGCAGGGTAAAGCAAAAGGAGTGGTATGCTTGGCATTTAGCAATAATTTATGTTAAGCGCGACAGCAGATAAACAATTTATGATTTTGAGGTGACATGAAATCAGACGTTACATTCTTCTTTGTTCTGGTACTTCGACCGTTTCAAAGAAAGGGGGGGGGGGGGCGGTTAGGGGTCCCGGTATTCGGGTATAAATCCCAACGGATTTTGGGAAGATCAATTGGCTAATTTAAAGTGTAGCTAGGTGGTCATCGTAAAAATATCCATGCTAACCAACGGTTTAGATGAACTCGATAGGTGAACACCACTTGTAAAAGACATTTATGATTTTGAGGTGACATGAAATCAGACGTTACATTCTTCTTTGTTCTGGTACTTCGACCGTTTCAAAGAAAGGGGGGGG